AAAAAAATAAAAAAAAAAATAAAAATATTTTAGGTGACGATACATCAATTTTTATATTTAAAATATGAGTTTCGGATATAAAGTGGTTATATTTGTTGGTTACCATGCACTCATATTGAAATAAAATTTGAATTTTCGTACTGTACTAATATACTTTACTCTTTATTACGTAATATTATTATATAATATTACTAATACATATATTACTTATTTGCTTAATAAATTTAAAAAAGAAAATATCCATATGCATGAATAGAGGAATTTTTGCGAAAAAGAGGAATTTTAGCGAATTGCCTTATCATCACATGGCAGCGCTCCATTTCGTCGTAATTTTTGGTAAACAAATGGGGATTTTTAAAATGCAAACTTTTTAGGTAAAAAACCTGCTGAAAGTGTAAGATATGGAGTTATTTACAAGTTTAAAGTGTAATTTTGTGAAATAGACGAATTTTGCGAATTTTTGAACTTTAAGGTCGATATCTCCTAAACTAAGCGTTTGCGGTACCTATCCTCTCCTCTTTCCAACGGTACCTTCAGATCGAAGCGCCAAGGAAATCGGAATTGTGCCTTAAACAGTTAGTTACAATATGTTATTTTTACAAATATTCCACCTCTGGGAAAGCTCGCCTATCCCCATATACCCCATTTATACGGACTCGTTTTTGTTACTCCTCCAATAAAGTAATCGGAAACGTGCCAATTCTGATGGCAATAAACAATGGTAGGGGATTGTTTAGTATCGCGCCGGTTAAGTATCGTTTATGGAAAAAAAAAACAGGGTTGGCCTACCCTCCCTCCCGACCCCTTATTGGAAAGAGGAAGGATCGAACTTTTTAATAAACCCTTTAAATAGCCCTTTGAAAATTACCGAAAATCAGTGTTTTTGCTCATTTTTCCATACAAACTGAAACCAATGCAACCCAGGCAACATTTTTGTATGGACAAGGAATCAAAATAAAGAAAACCAAAATGTAGTCGTTAAGAAATGTAAGGCCTTAATTTGTTTTATATTTAAATTTGTAAAATAATGCTTCACCGGGATTTCCTTCACAGTATTTTAGCTTTTCATTCCTTTCTGCATTGGCGGCCTTCGGCCGCGCAAAAAAAAAAAAAAATAACCCTGGCCGGTCCAACACCGGCTACGCCATCTATAGTTATTTTAGCAATGAACACCTTTTCGTGTTCACTTCATACATTTCTTGCTAAGTGGGTTTAATCTACTCCCTTTTGTTCGTGCCTTCTCGGTAATTTGACAGTTCAAATTAGGCAGTCATTTTGGTTTTTCGCATTATTGAACTCAATGCAGAAAAAGGTGTGTTGTATTTAAGATTTACAAAAAAATTAACGATCAAAAGTAATTAAAAACATTACTAATGGTTTTCATAATTCATAAGTAATATATGTGCGTGAAAATGTATCCATAATTGGTTTGGTACAATGCACAACAGATGAAAATACACTAGCATATATTTAGAAATTTGCAAAAAATAGCATTTTTTAAAGTGAAATTGTGGAAATATTTGTGAACCGATTTTTATAAAATATGTTTTAAAATAAAGTTCAATAATTTAAACATACATGCGTGTTAAAAATTTTCAATTTGGTTCTCTCGTTTAGGTACGGTGAGCCAAAATTAACCGGCGCGATACTAAAGACAACCCCAATGGTCGTATGGAAAATGTCTGGTCGATATCTTAAATTAAATATTCTGCCGGGCAGACTCAGATCGTCACGATGATCAATTATCTACTATATATACTTGTTATGATCGCCATTTGTTACAAATTCCGTAGTAAACTAATGCACTCCGTTTCGAGTATAACTTGATACTGAAAAATTATATAAATGCGAATATAAAACCAAATTAAACTTACGAATCAACTCGATTGGCAATAGATTTTGACTAAAAATACTTTGTATTTGTTAGCATTAACAAAGCCGAATGCGAAATGTTTATTTAGAAATAGTTTCGTAAAAAATTGTTAAAATAACGTAGCATTTGGACAGGCAATTATAGTTATCCAGAAAAAAGAATTGTTGTTAGAGGTGACAGCATGGTGCATAAGATTAAAAATATTTGACTAATGGGGCCCATACACGACACACATGTGCGTTTGATCTGTGTGAAATCGTTTCGCCCATACACGACATCCATATCCATTTTGCGTTCGTTCTTCAAACAGTCAACATGAGCCACAGGCAAGCGGAACATTTCTTGGAATTTATTTCTCATGTAGCAATTTTATCTATTTCTTTGTATTTCGTTAATAAGTTATTCCAACTTTAATTTTTCTCAATTTTACTTTTATATTTATCACTTTCCGTTTGATAAAATTGACGATTTTTTATAATCAATAAATTCTGATACGAAATCTTTAGTAATGGGGTAGTCTACTTTAGAAGTTGCAAACAGTCGATTTTTTTTTTGCTAAAATCTCTTTAAAAATTATCTAAGATTATGTCCCCAAAGTTTTAGATGGGAATTCGAATTCGATTTTAGCTTCGATTATCGAAGCTAGAAGAGAAATAGTGACCGAGCGTCTAGCAGATATATGAGCGCTTGGGTGAAAAATGAAAACTTTCACGCGCGATTTTTTGGTTTTTAATTTCTACGATTTTTTTTTAATTGGTGACTGAACGTCGTATGGAATATGGCGCAAAGTTTATTATCTTTTTTCCTAATATTAAAATATCTTCTATTTATACTATAATAAATAAACTAAGAAAAGTTTGAACATATTTTTAAACAACTTTTTTAAATTTTACACTTTTTTTTTAGAATTTTTTTTGTTTAACTAGAATATAAGTTTTTAAAAAATATGAATCTCTTAACATTTTTTGTTTCTGATAAAAATTAGGACCTGCATCCTGCTCGTCGTCCGAAAAATGTACATGCGAGATGCATTGGGCAATTGCTTCCCAAAGGCGGAATATCAAAAATTTCGTAACCAAAAATTTTGTGAAATATGCTCAAATATTTATATAACCATAAAGCCTAGAAATTTCACTTGAATCAATTATTTCTTTCCCTCCCAAAAAAAAACCTGGAAAAAATCGATTTTTTGAAGCGTCTAAAGTAGGCACACCCTTAACACTTGCCGTTGTTCTTCCACGATCTTCACTGTTCGACGGGAAAAATGAGATTTTGTGCGCACACAACGCCATACACAATGCACATGTGCGCACACCGATCTTAAAAAATCAAACATTTTCGCGAACATGGATCGGTACGCGCACAAGCCCATAAACGAGTAAACCGCATGCGCACACATACCCGCCGAACGTACTTGTGTGTCGTGTATGGGCACTTTAAATAATTATCCTTACAACTACTGCTGGCAATAAATTGACGTATTGGCGGCAAGTACACACATGGTTAAAATAATAAGTACACGCGCCCGTGTTACATTCAATGACTAATAAATTCTTTTTTATTCATGTTCAAAGAGAAATAATCGCATATTTAATTTCATGGCACGATTCCGATTACTTTGGCGGAGGAGTAACAAAAACGAATTTTCAGAGGAGGAATATCCAAAATAATATAAAAATAACTTATATTGTCAAAATATTCACGATTAAATGTTCAAAAATTTGCTCTAATAACACATGGTGCCTGATGAATTTTGCTACATTAAGAAACTCAAATAATTTTGTTTTCAGTGTATGGAATTCATTTTTCTTTTATTCATGTTAAAGCTCATTCAATTTTACTAAATATAGCTTAATTAGTTTTAAAAATAATTTAATTTAAATGCCCCCCCTTCTCGTTGATGTACGGCATCTTATCAAAAAGTTGATCATTACTGCTTGGAGAGTTGAGACAGGAATAGCCACAATTGTTTCTCCAATGGATTGCCTTAGTCCATTCAAATTTATTGGTCTACAAAGCACTTCCTGTTTGCAATAACCCCGCAAGAAAAAGTCCGGTGCAGTAAGGTCAGGCGACCTAGGTGGCCAACGGAATGTGGAGTTTCTGGATATCAGTTTATTGGGAAATTTCGTCGCAATTCTGTCATAACAGGTTGGATTATGTGAGGAGCTGCGCCATCTTGCTGAAACTCTCTCAACATGCTCAAGTAACGGTCTCCAGTAACCGTAACGGTGTGACTGTTTTCTTCGAAGAAGTAGGGCCCGACAATGCAACGTGATGAAACTGCACACCAAATTGTGACACGAAGTGGATGCAATTCCGTCTCATGTGGGTTAGAAGCACTCCATATTCGAAAAATTTTTGTTTATGTTGCCGTTTAAATCGAAATGGGCCTCGTCAGACATGAAAAGACAGTTCAACA